TCTTCTTTTTCTCCTACTCCTTTACAAACTGTTTTGCCTTTCGACCTTTCTCTCGCTGCGAGCGGGATGGGTACTGCTGCGACCTCTGCTGCTGCGCCTGGGTCAGGCAGTAGTCGTCCCGCTGAGGGTAGTGCATTTCACCCTTTCCGGCGTAGACCCCATCCTGATTTCTTCGATCCTTACTGTGAGCGGGTGCTTACGCTGGATGGGGTTCCCTTATCCTATCTTACTCGTCTAAGGATGTGCGCAATGCGCCATCAAGTGTTGGCTGATGCTGTTAAGGCCAATCCCCCTGATGTGTCTCTTGTTAGCCCAATTCCCCATGTTCAGCCTTTAAACAGTTTTCCTTGGCTTGATGACATGGCTGACATGCATCGGTTTGATCATTTCAATCAAGTAGTGCGTGGTGGGAATACTAGGACTCCAACATCTTCTCCCTCCCTAGCATTTTAATCAAGTAGGATGGCTGAATCTCCTTGTGATCGCTCATACTTCGACTGCCAACCTACTTATGTTGTTGAGCCCGTAGAGGAGGGAAAAACTGAGTTCTTCCTTGACGACAAGTGCTATGGGCCTAAGAGCTGTGTGCTAGATTCCAGTTGGCGTAAGGACGCTGAGAGGTTGGATCTGGCTGATGTAGGGCAGAAATTTTACGGTTTTGGGGAGGGCTACGAGCTGGTTCTGCCTGCTAATGGTGCTAAGTTATCGGCCCCCCCTGCAGGTCACATTGCTGTGTTTGCCTCACAGCTTGACTTGGGTCTGAGGTTCCCTTTAGACCCTACTTTAGAGAAGTCGCTGCGTGCTTTTAACATCTGTATGTCTCTGATTCATCCTGCCTCCCTGCACACTCTGATTTGCTTGCTATGGTTCCTAAGGTTTCGGAGGTACCCTGAGTCTCTACATTTGTTCAAGTCTCTCATGAGTCTGAAGAGATCAGCCTCTGGGACTAAGTCAGGGTGGTACTATGTTGCTCCCAAAGAGAGCAGAGTCTTGTCCTACCCAAAACATGGGCGTTTCAGGGACTGGACTGGTAAGTTTTTCTGGGTGAAGGTGCCTTCCAACTTTGCTGCTCCTCGCAACTTCAGAGAGATTCGCACCAACATGGCTGGGGTCACAGCTTCTCCTTCTGAACCTGCTCGTGAGACAGAGGCATTTGAGGCTCTGCAAGGAGCGGGGACAGGTGACTCCAAGTTTCCCAAGGTCTGGCTACCTAACTCCATTTACATTGTGGGTAATGAGCAGCTTTCTGCCATGCGTTTGTGCCGTACACATGAGTCTGGTAAGCTCTTTCTGTCTTTTGTTTTTCTCCTGATTTCTTTCTTTTCTTTCTTCCTTCCCCCTTTTTTTTTTATATTCTTGACTTTTTGTCATTTTGTGTTTTTAGGCTATGACAAGTTGGACAAAGCATGCTCGGGCTGGCTGATAACTGGAAGGACCCCTTGACTGCCACTCCTGAGAGCCCTCCTCAGCTCTTTGATACGCTGGAGGTGTATGCGGACTCCCTGAAGGGTGAGGCGCGCATGGCTCCCGCTAAGCTGCGGGCTGTTGTTGGTACCGTGGCCACTGGTGAGCATGCTGGGTCCAGCCGCGCTGAGCCAGAGCCCTCGTCTTCAACTGTTGGGAGCAGGCGTGAGACTCGCCCTGCTCCTCGAAAGGTGGCTTCAAATTTTGAGGCGTTAGTGGCGCCTACTGCTTCCCTTGAGAAGCAGTCTGTCGCGGCTTCCGGCCGGGTCACACCTCAGACTTCTGCTGCCAAAAGGCAACGTGAACAAGCTTCTGAAGAACCAAAGGCTACTGCCGATGATTTTTCTGACAATGTGCTCCAATTTCCCTCTGAGGGGATTGAGACCACTGCTGCGGGTGAAAAACTTGTATCCTCTGCTGAGCATGTTCTGCTCTATCCTACTTCTACTGTTGATACTACTGCTGCGAAGGACGTTGCAGTCCTTTCTGCTGCAGCTACTGATTTTCAACTCCCTGATGAATCTGCCATGGAGCTTCCAAGGATCCCGGCCGCGTCCCTACGGGCTGAGGGGGCGGCTCCGAAGTGCCACCCGGGGTGGGCTCTCTCGGGCTGTGGGTTCTCTCCAGCAGGATCGTCCAGTGATTGACTTGGAGGATGATCCTGTGTCTTCTCCCCTTGCTAGGGATGAGCCTGAGGCGAAAAAGGCTCACACCTCTCCTGGCCCAGACCCTTTTGCTTCCACTTCTGCCAACACTGGGCACCCAGGTGGGAACGTTGGTGGGGGAGACACTCAGAATTCTAGTGAGCTTAACCGTTGCGTTACCTGTTCCTGGGTGATGCCTTTGAGAATCCTCTTTCCGCGTCCTCTCTTTCTGCTGGAGGGACTTTCCGCCCTACTGAGGCCACTGAGTTTGCTCAAGTCCCAATTGACATCCATCTGCGCCCTATACTCTGCCCTTCTGGAGCTGAGAACGCTCCTTTTCGACCTTTGATGAATGTGAGGGCTGATGAGTCTTTATATGTAGACGAACCTCAGAAGGGTGGTACTCTGGGATACCGTCTGACTCAGGGGGTTCGTCTCCCTGCGGATTTTTACGCGCAGCTCAGTCAGCCTTCTAGTGGCCACTGCCTGCCATGACTTGCAGAGGGTTAGTCTCTGCTTTTAGTTTTTCTTTTTCTTGTTTCAGCTTTTCTTTGCTTGTGTTGCAGCTGTTGTCTTGTTTTACTTATTATCATGCTTTACTTTTCATTGTTAACTTCTTCTGTTAGCTCCTACTTTGGCTAACTCTTCCTCTCTGCCTTTATTGCAGCTTGTTATGTCTGTGGGTGATTTATCTAATGCTTTTCTGTCAGTGGAGAAGGAGTACCAGAACCAAGGCATAACCCTTTCCCAGAAGACTCTGGAGGCTCAGCAGGCTCAGGCTGAGAAGGATGCTATGGCCAATGAGGTGACTCCTCTAAGAGAGAAGGTGGATGCCTTGCAGCTCCAATTGGGAGAATTTCAGCTCACTCAGACCAAGCTGAAGGACTGCCAAGAGCAGTTGGGGACTTCTCAGGCCAGGGTGAAGACGTTAGAGGCGAAGGTGGCGGACTTGCAGGCTGTGCACACTACTGCGCTGGAGGCTGCTAGGAGGGAGGCGCTCAAGTCTTTTGCGCTTTCTCCTGCTTTTGCCAAACTCCTTGCTGATTGCCATGATGGAGGGTGGGAAGCTGCGGCTCGATGTGTCAGCAGTTTGTATGGTGAGGGTGAAGAGCAGCAGGCTCGCTTTAACGCCTTTTGGGCTAAGGTTGAAGCTGCAGGTGAAGCTTGTTTGTTCGATCTCCTTGCTGATCACCCTCGCGCTGCGGGCTGCAAGATTTCCAATCAGGTTGTGCTGAACTTAGAGGTGTCTCTCTATCCTGACGTTGCTGCAGCTATTGGAGTGGAGTCTCTGACCGATGATCAATAAAGGTTATGGCGGTTGTCACCCTCCTACTCTAGTGGTTCCTCTGAGTTTCCCTCACCCAGATCTGTTGTAACTAGGTAGTTTTTGTTACTATCTTTGGGGTGTATAGCTGCCAAAGATTTATATTTCTTTGTGTATTTTCAGAATACTTTGTCTTTTGTTGCTGGGTCTGTCCAGCTTAACCTGAATTTGTGATTTACCAACTTTGTTTGTTGAGTGTTTCCTTGTCCTGGTGGACGAGGTCTCAGCTTTATTTGCCTTGTATCTGACTTGATGAATGTTTACTCTGCCTTGGTGGGCTAGGGTTCAGCCTTATAATGTATGCTCTTTATGATCTTCTCCTGCTACCTTGTTTTGTTATTTATTTCGTTAATTGCACATTTGCCCACAATCTAATATCTCTTAGCAGTATCAAGATCTCGTTGCAGCATTTTTGCTACACTTGGTGGGGCCTCGTAGGTTGGGCCTCCCTATCCTTTCGATTTGGTTGTTTAGCGCTTTCCTGCTCCTTTTGCGTTCCGCTGCGTTTCAGCAGAGGTTTTGTTATATTTTATCTTCCCTTTTCTACCTGCTTCAAGTGTTTGTGCGTTGCATACTTCATTTGGCTTTGGCCAAAGGTTTCATCTGCGTGCTGGTTGGTACACTTAGTTTAGCACTGTTTGGCTTACCCTTGCTGAGACTTGTTTGTGTCAATCAGCTTTTTTTTATCTATTTTGCCTGTGTCACCAGCTTGTTTTGCTGCGACTTATCTATGTCATTCAGCTTGCATATGCTGCGACTTGCTTATGCTGAGACTTGTTTATGTCGTTCAGCTTATTTGTGCTGAGACTTATTTATGTCAATCAGCTTGTTCGTGCTGAAACTTATTTATGTCAATCAGCTTGTTCGTGCTGAGACTTATTTATGTCATTCAGCTTATTCGTGCTGAGACTTATTTATGTCAATCAGCTTGTTTACGCTGCCTGCTTACTTTTTTTTTTTTTGTATGGGCTTATTGCTTGGTTGTTCTCTCCTGCTCTCTCCCCCTCGAAGAGATGTGCTAAATGGGACTAAGAGGACCTTAGTGTTGCCCATGTAGCTCATCTTTTCTTTTCCTCCTCTCTCCCCTGCTCAAGCTGAACGTGTCAGGTTCCCCCTCGGGCGTCCCCGAGGAAGCGCTCTATTTTGTTTTTCGCAAGTGAGGTGAGGTTTTAAGGAGGGATGCCTTTGTGTTGTTACTTTATGCTAGGGTGCTTCTTGCCTCTAACACTTTACTATTATTCTTGTTTGACTTCTGCATGTTAGTATATGATGCTTGGGCATACTATATTAAACAGATTTATGCAACATACTCCTCACGCAGAGGCTTGTATTTCATTGAATAGAAATGGCTTAAATGCCTTAGTTAACATGACATAGACTGAGTAAAAGTGCATCAAGCTTAAAGCAGCTATATTTCGAGCTAATTAAACAAAGTATTTCTTTAACACATCAGCATTGAAACTGTTTCTTAAGACCTGACCTTCTTGATCTGCAAGGAGGAACGCTCCAGGGCCAACCTGCTCATGGATGATGAAAGAGCCTTCCCAGTTTGTTGACAGATTTCCATGCTAATTTCCTCTTCCAACTGCTGTTGTCCTCCTGAGGTCTAGGTCTCCAGGCAGGAGCTCCTTGTGCTTGACCCTCTTGTTGAAAGCTTTGGAGATCCTGCTCTTCTGGGCTGCCAGCTTAAGGGCCGCTTTTAGTCTTACTTCCGGCAGGAAATCTAGCTCTTCCAGCATGCGCTTTTCATTCCCCTGCTGCTCATAGTGCTGTATCCTCAGGCTGGGGATTTGTACTTCCACAGGGACAACTGCATCGACCCCGTAGGTCAAGGTGAAGGGGCTTTTACCAGTTGCCTCCTTCTTTGTGGTCCTATTCGCCCACAAGATTTCTGGGACTAAGTCTGCCCAAAGACCTTTGTATTCTTCCAACTTCTTCTGTAGGGCTGTCAGGATCAGCTTGTTTGCTGCTTCTGCTTGGCCGTTGCTCTGCGGGTGGCAGACTGAGGCACTTGCATACTTGGTGCCCATGTCTCCCAAGTAATCCTTTATGGTGTCGCAGTCAAACTGACACCCATGATCGAAGACTATGCACTGTGGCACCCCGAATCTGGTGATGATGCTCTTCCATATAAATGTTCTTACCTGGGTTGCCTTTATGTATTTGGTGGGCTCAGCTTCTATCCACTTCGTAAAGTAATCAACTGCCACAATAAGATACTTCCTGCCCGCCGACCTAGTGGTGAAGGGTCCTAATATGTCCATTCCCCACTGAGCGAACGGGAACGGGCTGAGGATCGGAGTTAGATCGTTTGCTGGCTGATTTATGACCGGTGATTGTTTCTGACACCTGTAGCATTTTTTAACGTACGCAAGTGTGTCCTGTGTGAGAGTTGGCCAATATGCCCCTCTTCTAAGGACCTCCACTCCCAATGCTTTCCCGCCAATGTGATTGGCACATATCCCGGAGTGGGCTTCTTCCATGATACCCTCTTGCTCCCATTCTGGGATGCACCGCAGCAGTGGCTTTGAAAAGCCTTTCTTGTTGAGCTCTCCATTCATCACCACATACCAATTTGCATCTTTCTTCACCTTTTTAGCCTGTACTTCGTCATCGGGCAGCGAGCCATGAGGCTTGTATGCCAAGATGTCAGAGAAGCAGGCTCTCCGACTCCCAATGCAGTTTACCTGCTCCTTTTCGGCAATGCTACTTTCTTCTAACACTTCGACCATCACTGTTCTAGTGAGGCTTTGCAAGGTGGAGCTGGCCAACTTAGATAAGGCGTCAGCCTGAGAGTTTCCTGCTCGGGGGACTAAGTCTAACTGGATTTGGACTAGCTGGGCTGCCAGTTCTTTCACTTTGGTCACATATTTCATCATAGTGGCTTCCCTTATCTCGTATGCCCCCTGGAGCTGGCTGGCAACGAGCTGAGAGTCAGTCTGCAGGTGTACTTTGCGAGCTCCGGCTGCGAGGCTCATACGCAAGCCTGCTAGTGTCGCCTCGTACTCTGCTTCATTATTAGACGCTTTGAACTTAAACTTGATGGCATACTCGAATACGTTTCCTTCTGGAGACGTCATTATGACTCCTGCTCCACTCCCCGTTTGGGCTGAGGACCCATCCACTTCCACCTTCCAGACTCCAATGTCGTCTTCCTTCTCCTCATAAGAGGCTTCCACTATGAAGTCTGCTAGATCTTGTGCCTTGATGGCTGCTCTAGGCTTGACCTCGAATTCATACTCAGAAAGTTCAATTGCCCATTTCAAGAGTCTTCCTGATGCATCCATCTGTTTTAATGCTTTTTCCAGCGGGTGGTTTGTGAGGACCTCTATTATATGCGCGTCGAAGTATGGTTTTAGCTTTCTTGCTGTCGTGACCACTGCGAAGGCTAGCTTTTCTACCAGGGGATATCTTTGCTCTGCGTCAGTCAGCACGTGACTCACGAAATATATTGGCCTTTGTTGTTTCTGTCTTTCTACCAGCAGAACGGCTGCGATTGTTTGTATTGATGCTGAGATGTATAACTGCAGCTTTTCCCTCAGCTCCGGGCTGATCATTGTTGGGAGCTTAGTCGGATGCTCCTTGTTGCCCTCAAAGGCTTCTTTCTCCTTGGCCCCCCACTTGAATTCCCTGTTTCCTTTCAATAACTGATAGAATGGTAAGGCTTTGTCTGTTGACTTACTGATGAACCTGGTCAGTGCGGCCATTCTGCCTGTCAACCTCATGACATCCTTAATGCTCTTAGGCTCGGGCAGATTGAGAACTGCTTCGATCTTTTCCGGGTTGGTATCTATTCCTCTCTCGCTGATCAGAAAACCCAAGAACTTTCCCGAGCTCACTCCAAAGACGCATTTCTTCGGGTTGAGCTTGATCTTATACTTATTCCAAGGTAGCGAATGTTTCCTCTAAATCCATGATATGTCCAGCCTACATGATGCTCTTGAAAATTGAGTCGTCAACGTATACTTCTACATTTCGTCCTTTCTGGTGAAGGAACACTCTATCCATTGCCTTCTGAAAAGTTACCCCCGCATTCTTCAGCCCGAAGGGCATAGCTATGTAATTGTACACTCCCCCTTCAGTGATGAATGCAGTTTTCTGCCTGTCTGGCTCGTGCAGGCTGATCTGGTGGTACCCTGAGAAGGCGTCAATAAATCTTAGCAGGGCGTGCCCGCTCGTTGAGTCTACCAGTTGGTCTATTCGTGGCAATGGGTAACAGTCCTTTGGGCAGGCCTTGTTAAGATCTGTGAAATCGACACACATTCTCCATTGACCATTTGCCTTCTTCACCATGACCACGTTGGCTAACCATTCTGGATAGTCACAGGGTTCGATAAATCCTGCTTCTAAGAGTTTTTCCACCTCTTCCTGGATTGCTTGGTTTTTCTCCGTGTAGAAGCTTCGCTTTTTCTGCCTGACTGACCTAATGTCTTCCTTTACATTCAGCCTATGTACCATGACCGCTGGATCAATTCCGGGCATCTCATCTGCAGAAAATGCAAAAATGTATTTATTCATTCTTAGCAGCTCTATGAGGTGGACCCCCACTCCTGGATCAATGTCTTTCCCGATTTTCACTATTCTCGAGGGGTCACCTTCTGTGAGCTCGACCGTGACATGCTCCCCGCTAGGAAGTGGTCTGGCCACTTCTTCTTTTGCAGGCTCGAAGTTTTCCATAGCCAACTTTTGTTTATCCTTCTCCCTGTGATACTCTTCACGCTTTCTCTTCCTTGACTTCCTCTCAGGCTGCTTAGGGAGTCTTCTATCAGAACCTGACTGCTGTCTGGTTTTGGCGGGCTGCTTCAAGGCAGTTATGTAACATTGTTGGGCTGTCTTCTGACTTCCCATGAGCTTTGCTGATCGCCCCTCATTGCTTGTGTAAGCCATCGCCAGGTGGTAAGTGGATACCACCCCGCTTATCTTGTGGATGAGCGGTCTTCCCATGATTACATTGTAGGGTGAGGGAGAGTTTATCACGAGAACTTCTGCTCGGACATCACGCCTTCTCGACCTCTCTCCTACCCGGACTGAGAGCTCGATTATGCCCTCTGGGGTAAGCCCCAAGCCATTAAACCTGGTGACCTCATAGTTTACTCTCTTTAGATCCTTTCTGTCCAACTTCAGCTTGTTGAACGCAATGATGTAGATGATGTTGACTGAGCTGCCGCCGTCTTTCAGTATTCTACCCACCTCCCAGTTTGCAATTCTCATTGTTACCACCAGCGGGTCGTCATGAGGGTAAATTATGCCCTTCTGGTCATACTCATCAAACGTGGCTCGTGGCTGCGGGGGAAGGGGTGGCCTTCTACGCTTGTCATTGTCATTAATCTGATGTATCATTGCCCTTAGGTCAGCCCGCGCTCTGTTGACTGTCCCCCCATGTACTGGTCCTCCACTGATCACATACACCCTGCCCTCTAGCTTGCTATCTCTGTCCTTGTCTCCTGTTGGACCCCTATTACCTCCTCGGCGGTCAGCTCGGCCCGCTCTATCCTCCTCCCTCCTTCTGGGAGGATCATCATGCTGCTTAAATTGGGTCAGGTATCCTCTCCTGATTAAGTCCTCTATGTTGTCCTTCAAGTGTGTGCACTCCTCAGTGGTGTGGCCATGGTCCCTATGGAAGTCACACCACCTACTGGTATCACGGCATCTGTTTATCATCCTTGGGGGCCTCTGCCACTTATCATCAGCTTTGTTCACGCTGAATATGTGAGATCTTTAATGGGTCAGTGGGGTGTATTGATCAAACTTCCCAGGCCTTGGCCCTCTCCGCGGATCGGATCTTCTCAGCCCTACGACCCTGTCCGCTTCTCTGCGAGTTTGCTCAGCCCTGCTTGGCTGGTCCACCCTGGGCAGGTTCTCTGCCCGGGTGACCTCTGCCCGTCTGACTGGGTCACCTGCTGCTTTCCTACCCAGCATTGCCCTGTTAGTCTCATCTGCCTTGATGAACTCGTGCGCTTTAACTAGCGCTTCCGCGAGCGCTTTGAGGCTCTTACGCCCCATATACGCTCTGAAGGGTGACCCTGGCAGTAGACCACTCTGCATTGCCAACAGTGCTACCTCCTGGCTCATGTTTGGAATGGTTGTTGCCTCCTTGTTGAATCTGGTAATAAAATCCCTCAGGGGCTCGTCTTTTCCCTGAACCAAGGACATCAGCTCAGTTGTCATCTTGGTTCTGTCCACCAGGGTTATGAAGTGCTCCATGAACATCCTCTTCAGCTGGTTGTACGAGTATACAGAACATTTAGGGATGGCGCCGTACCATTCCGCTTCCAGCCCCTCCAGAGTTGGTGGGAAAGCCTTACACCAGACTGAGTCTGTCATGGTGTAGAGTACCATATGATTCTCGAAAGTTGATATGTGGCTTTTGGGTGTTGTAGTCCCATTGTATTTGCAGCTCGGCATCTTCACCTTCTCCATGGGTTCCTCCAGAATCTCCCGGCAAAATGGGGAATCATCTAGAACAACCTGGATTCGCGCTCGTTTGTCTCTCTCCGGGCTGGGTCCCCGCTCTGCGGCCGGTGACCTACTACGTGGGACCCGCTTCTCCAGGCTGATCTGAGTGGGGGTTATTTCCTCCACGCTCCATTCTCGGATCAGGTTGCGAGCCTCCAGCTCCAATATTTTTTTCCTCAGTTGAATGAGCTCCTTCTGCTCAGGGGTGAGAATCGAGGCCTCCGGCTTTTTTGATGCGGGCTGCACAGCTGCCGTTGCCGGTGATGGACCAGCTCCCTTACCCATGTTGGTAAGGACCACCGTCATTGCAGCCAGTTGCTCCTTACTGCACTTAGAGAGGTTCTGCAGAATGGCTGGCATATTCACGGGCTGCGGTTTCTAGGTTACAGGTGCTGAAACAATAAGTTCATTGTTCGCATCAGTTAACGGCATTCCGTACCTGAAAATGGAGCTGGATCCTACCGGATCTACTGGTTTCGCCACTGCTTTAGCAGTAGCTGACGTTGATCCGACGGGGTTCGATTTCTGTGAGATGGTCGATTTGGGGTTTCCGATGGATCCTTTTGGATCGTTAGTTACTGAGGGTGCTTTTAGTGGTGTTTGGTTGGTCTCATTAGCTTTGGACGTGGGTGTTTGTACAGTTTCTTCTCCGGCCATGGTGGTAAGTTAACTAGTCCCTAGCTCAGTTGGTGAACCTCAGGTTAGGTGATCCTGACCCCTCCTTCTAGCGCCAATTGTTCCAGGTGTGGATCCAAGGGTTCTGCTGGGTGAGTTGGGTCCCGTCAACTACCTACACAAGGCAGCACACGTAAACTGCCCTCGGGGGTGGCTCGAGGAACCCCCCTCCGAAGCTTAAGTCAGAAAGTGTTTAGAGAGAGAAAGTGTACTTAGAAAGATGTAGAGAGTGCAATAACTTTAGTATTTAACCTCTTTTCCGTTGTACTTTACCCTCTATTTATAGGCGTATTATCTCCTTCGTGGAGAGTTTAGACTGGTCAGCCCTGCGGGCTGGCTCTGCAGGGCTGATGAGCCCTTCTTTAGTTGCTTACTCGGCAGTGAGTGCGCACCCTGGGGGCTGGGCGATAGTTTAGCGGGAGCTACCCTATACAATTACTTTTGTTTTTTTCCTTTAGGCTTATCTTTTCTCGATTTCAGGCTTGGGGATACTCGTACCTGCCATTCTTAGCCCCAGGGTGCTTGGGGCTACTTTCCCTATCGGCCTTCGATTGGTCGAGTTTAAGAGGAGACGAGCTACTTCTGCTGGCGACTTTCGCCAGAGGATTCTTTCGGCGACTCGTATGTAGGTGAGTATCCAAACTACATGTTCTCTCTTCATTTTTTGATTTTACTCATTTTCTAACAATTTTTCATGTGGTTGTGTTTTATAGATCGATCTCCGTCCTTGGAGTTTGATCGTCGGAGTCCCTGAGGCTATCTGGTCTGGCATGGTTCGTTGTCGTTTCCGGGCCCTCTATACGGGACTCTCTGTGTTCTAGAGGACCCACGCTTGGTTTTTATGCGAGCGTGTTCTCTGGCAGCTTTCGACCGAGGAGCCTTTTAATCCTGGGGTTCCCCTGATCCGGATGTTGCGTCCGGACTTGATGTCTACCGAGGATCGAGCTCAGACGATCCTAGGTTATGAAGCGGAGCAGTTGGTGTTGTCGGATGCTTCTTATCTGGCTTTTATAGCATCCAGGCTGACTCCTTTTCGGGCCTTTGTTCCGGCTAGTTTTTGCTAACTCTCTTTTTTCGTGTTTCTATTTATTTTTTGGAATTTTGACCCTTTTATAGTTTTTTGTCAATTGTATTTTAGCGGGTCGAGCTAGGTGGTTGGGTGCCTCCTACAGCGGAGATCACGTATACCGATGTTGTCGGATCGGTAATTCGTTAGATCCTTCCAGCGGCCGAGGATGATGAGGGGATACTGTTCGTACCTTAGACGGTTGAGTGACCCTTCCAGCGGCCGAGGATGATGAGGGGATACCGTTCGTACCGGAGACGGTTGAGTCAGTATGCCTTTTATGTATATGTACTTAAATATTTCTATTTATTTTTTGTTTCATATACATTTGTTTACTAACTGTCCTTGTATCCTTGAAACAGGTTCCGCGAGAGATCATGAACGACTTTGTCATGTCGTGATCATCGGATGATCGCGGTAAGCTTTATTTCTTTTTTCCTTTGCAACAAAGTTATTACATTTCATGTATTAATCTTCATTTTGGATTTTACAGGATGTGCAGCAACCGTC